ACAAACGAAATAAAACTCATCTTTGTACGAATTTATTTTTCATATGACACAAAGTAACATAACATTGTTATATGTTGCATTTACGACTACTACAGCAAATCAGAAAATTCGTACAATATCAAACGTAAGAGTTGTTCACAAATACATTGGTATTTTGATATGAGTATCATGTAGTATTAAAATATTAAAATCATATGATCAGCAAGTTTATAAGCTTAATATTGTATTGTTTTTTATTTAAGTGTCGCATGCTTAATTTCATACATATACATCTGTACAATCATCCAAAAAGCCTCGAGCCACCAGTGGCTTATGAGACACTGCTAATCAAAATAAATCATATAATATTATATAATAAGATGCATAATATGAGTCAGTTGCAGAAATAGGATTATGAATAAAGCAAAGTTCATGACCTCTATTACGAACATTGTTTGATGAACTCGATCACTCAGTCAGTTGTTGAACATATGCAAATGTGGTCAGGTTATAAATATAAGTACAATTTAAGTCCATGATATTTTCACATATTGAACATAACACTCAGTTCACAAAGAGATGTATACAAATCTAATCCACAAGTAGAAATGATTGTTTCATGCTGTTTATGCATTGTGTATAAACTGTAATCCAAAACATGAATAAAGTGGGCAAGAGGTGGTTGTATGATGGCCCATAAAATCACATTATGTAACACCGGCACCCTGGTTCAATATAGTGCAGTGGCCCATGTTTGATATACGCACATCAAAACTCATGTTTTTTCAAGGAAAGAAGCTAGATTAGTGATATATTGAAAAATCAAACTACTATACCCCAATACTGTAGCCCGTATTTCTTTAAAAGGAATACAGGCTACAGTGAAGTTGCAAATGGAGGACCTTTGTTTATTTCCATAGTTCTGGAGGAATACTAGATTTTACATTGTATAGATTCATCGAGCAGTTTGCAACGCACTATCACCAGAAAAGTCCTATGGAAAAGGACAAAGAATACCCGCTCTATTTGCAACTTAACTGTACCCTGTATTCTTTTTAAATGTGTTCACGTGGTAGGGTAGTGTGATACTCCCTCTGCCTATGCCTACATCGTTCAATCTTTTTTTCATAGTATAACGCCTTAGTAATACAACAGTTATTGAGCTGTTAAGAAAACATACTAACAAACAAACCACCGAGTTTAGAGTAAGACATATACATGTATTGTTCTATTATCAAATCATATATTGTGTCCCAATTCTAAAACGTTAACAGTTTATGGTGTACAATAAAACTATTACTATTAACCACTTTAATATATTTAGACATAAAATATCAAGTTACTCATCAGCCAACAAATCTCAAAATATCGAAAAATGAAAAATACGAGGTACTTGTTCACTCAAATCTAGGAGTCAATTGGTAATGTGTACCTATAGATAGTTCTCAAAGTAAATGAGCAAAAGCGTAACATTTGTATGTAGCATGCTTCATAAAACACTAAACTTAGCCCAAAAAGTAAACGTGCATTTTGTTCCTGGCACTGATTGGTTAATAAGTGAATACAATTCGTTGAATGCACGATGCACTCAAAAGATTAGCAGCTGGGAAAGGCTATTGAACAAAAAGTACGCTTTCGTACTCAAAAAAGGATTACCCTTTTACAACTTTGAAGCATGATTATGCAACCTTATCTTTGGGACAAGAGCCCAAAAACAAGGTACTCGTGAACGAGAGTTGAATTTGCTCCGTGAACGATAGGATACGCTGTTCCCCACCAACAAAATACAGACATATGCTTCAGTGTCCTCAACGCAGATTGTAGAGAACAAGAGAAAAAATGAAATATACTTTGCCATAACAGAATACTGTTAAAGTATTGTTTATTAAGTTTATTAAGTTTCACAAATAACTTTTAAATACCTTCTTTACCGTCAACGGACACTCAAATAAATACACAATACAATGCAATGCAATGTAATACAACGCATTACAATACAAACTAAATTAGAGTATTTGTGCATAGCATTTTCCCCTTTTGTTTGAAGGATATTTTAAGAATAATTCCAGCGTTCGTACACACCTGGAAATGTCAGGGTTTTGATTTAATTTTCCAAGTGCCTGAAATGTCAGAGAATTTTAAAATAAGGTCAAAAAGGGCCAAAGAGTCCGGGAATTTTGAAACTGTAGACATGTCATGGAAATGTCAGGGAAATTTGTATCAGTGTTGAAAAAATGATGTTCCAGAAAAATAAATTTTAGGACTATGACAGGATCTCAATGAAATCCAAAATGTAACATTTAGTTGATTCCACACGGGGCGTGTACATTGTCTAACATATATCTAAAAGGTTTACACTGTCTTGATTAATGAACTTCTTAGATCTAGTCGCGCTTCAGAAGTGGAAATCCTTCAATTATCAGAGGTTAATGTTTCTAAAACTGTATTGAAATAAACGTACGTCTTGTTTTCAAACCTACACCTTGCTCCTTTCTGTCGTATTAATAAAGCAAAAATAACATATCACGGTGGGATACGAACCACTCGCCTGGGATTTGGTTATTCACTAACACCATAGGCGTTCACCTATTCTGGATACAACTGACGAGTTGTATCTAAGTGGAGTCAAAAGCGAAGATCATTCTAAATTGACGCTCGGTATAAATATATGATACTTTTATCATCTCACACAGGTGAACGTTAGCCTCATGGCTAGCGTGTTTAGCTTCCACTCTCTAGGTTAGTCGATCGAAACCCGTTCATGGCGAACTTTTTGATTTGCTTGCTGTCAATTTATAATAAGTAGGGCAAAATCCAGAAAAAGTAGATCAAAAATACTCCAATGGAGTATAAAATTGGCACCAGGATTCCGAAATGAGACGAATGTTAACTCGTTAAATCTCGGTAGATAAAGTAGGTCAGAAAATCCGGATTAATCCGAACTGATTCGGGAATCTTCGTCATAAGAAGAAGATCAAAAATCCAGAGAAGTAGATCAAAAATACTCCAATGGAGTATAAAATTGTCACCAGGATTCCGAAATGAGCCGAATGTAAACTCGTTAAATCTCGGTAGATGAAGTAGGTCAGAAAATCCGGATTAATCCGAACAAGGTTCGGGAATCTTCGTAATAAGAAGTAGATTAAAAATACTCCCAATGGAGTATAAAATTGTCCCCAATATTCCGAAATACGACGAATCGAATCGGCAAACTTCGGTAAAATAATGAAGTGCATAAAAACCGAAATGATCCGATGAACGTTCGGATAAAATCGTGAACAGGTGTCAGGGGTTTCCCCTCATCTTTCCCCACATTGTTCTAAAAGCCTTATATGGATTTATCACGTAACATTCAAAATGACGTTCCTATATGGTTCTATGGGTTCGAACACGTGACCAAATATACCAAATAAAAATTTTACCTTGACCACTGGATGGGATTTCATAGAAAATATCCAAGAAAACCTATCCTCGTGATCCTTAAATCACTTAAATTCGATCATTTTATTTTCACCCCTTGATGGAATTTTATGAAAGAAGTCATGAAAACACATCATCGTGTAAGGGTTTTCACCTAAATTAGCTCGTTTTATCTTGAGCCTTCAATTGAATTTCTTGAAGAAATATTTTATGAAAAAATATCATCATGTTATGATTTGTATTTAAATAAGACCGTTTCATCTAAATACTTGGATAATATTTCATAAAAAATGCACTTTAAAATTTTTCAGAATTTGCCTTAATTTATCAATGTAATGAAAGTATAAGATTAACTCTCAAATAGCGTTCTATTTTAACCTTTTTATTGAAATCAATACAGGACTCGCTCTCTAAATATTCAATAAAAATTCAACCCTTGGATGTGATTTCGTTGGAAAAAAAATATGTCAAGTCCAGAATCAAATGATTTGTCCAGAACCTCTTAAGATCCTGTTGCTAGTATTCAAATTATTTGCTACAATTTTAACCAGTCACATGATTCAGATATACATCCTCAATTAATGCTATGTGTTTTGCACATAAGAACGAGAAAATAAACATTAGGTTATCTGCCAAATGTTTTAACGGAGAGTTGATAGTTTCACCCCAAATCATCACTCTGTTATACCATGACAGTTACGTCAAGGCAATTTGCAAAATGTTGAGGTAACGATAACAAAGAATGGCGGATGGGAAAGACAGCATGTCCTCTTTCTCGTCCGAAGGTAAGATTCACAGGTAAGATTTTCTTTAAACTAGTTCCATTTGGTGATGTATTTATGGATGGTTATCAAGACTGAGTTAACTCTGCCGTGTGGTCTACAAGAAGCAGAATATAAGCCGTAAACCTACCTGAGATATCCAAGTTCATAATTTTTAGTCGATTCTCGTGTTCTCTCAGTATGTGTGCCTCAGAGCCACACAAAATACTAACTGTAAGTAAACTGTGTATTAACAAGCCATAAAATGACAAATCCAGAAAAAAGAACGTGATGTATATTGTAAATAATAAGGTTTCATTCGCATAGATTGGATGACTTTTACGGACGGTAACGTATTGTATTAGTTGTACATTAGATATTAAGCGGATGCTTACGTACCTGTTAAGCCTCTTTTGACGTTATTGTTATGATGGGTAAGAAAAGGAATCTTGAATTGCCTATATTTGTTTTCAGGACTCACAAGAAACGCTCTTGTATGTGCCTCTATAGGGCAAGGAAAAAACTGAAGTGGCTCGCTTGATGAAACCAATGAAAGTGAAAAATAGCAATGAAGAGGAAAAAGAAGATTTTACTTCAACTACTGATGAGATGTGGCGACGTCAGCCATGGTTGAATAGTTTAGGTAAACATGTGATTCAACAAAATAGACCATAGTCAGATCAGATAATTGTAAATAAGATTTAGATGCAGGTTTATGGCCTACCAGTATGTGATTTTTAACTGTGATTATCATTTTTACCGAATCGTGTAATGAAAAATTGTATGGATAAAATGGATTTGACCACAGAGTTCCGTTTGATTCCTACATGTAAACATGTGATATATGGCATCACTTATCCCGCATTCTGTATTTTCTAAAATAACATGTTCGATTGGCAGGATAATATATTGAGACGTCATAGGCATACTGGTATGACATTATTCATGTTGTTTAAATTTAAGATAGAATATCACACATTACATATTATGAACTGTGTGAAAAAACATTAACTTCCTTGTTGAATAATTTCAAAAGTGTGTAAAATTAAGTCTAACGCAAACGATAACCAGTTGGGGTGTCCCAAACAGAAAGTTTGTCAGCTTGCTTTGTATCATTAACTTATCGAATCCTGAAAATGGCTTCAATATCCAGCAGTATCGTTGCGTTTATATACTAATAACTCTATTTGTCGCATTTCACGTTAAAATATTGTATGTATTCTTTAAATTCGTTTCTCAGCAAATCAGCCTCAAGTCCATACTTTTCTAAAGAATACGAATGGACCCCATGTTTGTGTTGAGGGTTATCTTTGATATATTGTCTCATAGCAAATTCCGCCTTTGGTGATAACTCTTTCCCAATATGTGCAAAGATAGACCTTACAGTTGCCATTGGTGATTTCACCAAATCTCTAAAATTGATATCCAGGAATGTGCATGCGCCCTTTCCTTGGTTGTTGACGTCATATGACTTCCTGAATGACGTGAAACATTCTGCCTCGTGCTTCATGTGCTTTAACACTCTGTGACTGATTACCAGTGGTTCTATGTCGCTCTTGAAATAATACTGTTCAGCGTATGTCTCGTTTACACTACAAGACGAAGGGACGAAACTGGTAGGATCGCGCACTGTATGAACAATTTTTGCATCTGGATATGTTGCCATCAATTGTCGTATGAAGCTCATGTGGTTTGAATCCTTTCGAAGTACACGCTTTTGCACTTTTCCTAAAAAATCAAGATTTTTTGTTCTTATTTTGGTTTAGGTCTTTTTTAGTTCTTTTTAGATTGGTTTAATTAATTAAACAATACAATTTTACTTGAGCGACTTTATTTCAATACAATTAAGTGAAAATTGACAAAACAGTTATGCATATGATCTGAAAATGATAATACTAAACAGTAGGTAACCAGACTGATATCTTTAACTACACCCCAATCCGCACGGTACATTTAGAGTATTATACCATACAGTACTGTTTGGGTATGACGCCATACACTGTTCAGGGTAATGCACAGTACGACTGTCTCCTCTTTAACTACACCCCCAATCTGCACAGTACATTTAAAGTATTATACCATACAGTACTGTTTGGGTATGACGCCATACACTGTTCAGGGTAATGCACAGTACGACTGTCTCCTCTTTAACTACACCCCCAATCCGCACGGTACATTTAGAGTATTGTACCGTACAGTACTGTTTGGGTATGACGCCATACACTGTTCAGGGTAATGCACAGTACGACTGTCTCCTCTTTAACTACACCCCCAATCCGCACGTTACATTTAGAGCATTGTACCGTACAGTACTGTTTGGGTATGGCGCCATACACCGTTCAGGGTAACGCACGGTACGACTGACTCCTCATCACGATTTTTGATTTTGATTTTAAGGCAGAAAATGTCTGTGTTTCCCGTTTCTTTCCCGTTAACTATATAAAACTGTTCTAGTTCGTTCTAATCTGACAAAATTGTTCAAAACTGATATTTTCTCAAATAAGCCAAGTTTCTTTAATTATCTTATTTTGTTTTGTTTATTTTGTTTTATAGTTTCTTGCTAATTTATTCAATATAGAGCTAGTCAATATCTTGCCCATTTGGTAAATGAAGGCCTTGATTTCCAAGTCGTAATGACGGTAAAGCCTTGCTAGAGTTTCATCATCAAGTGTTTGGTACCACGACATGTAAGATAGAAGTTTCTTGTAGGCCATTAAAGGAAGATCACGTGACACAAAACATCGCAAGAATTGAACTTCGCACTCTTCGGGACCTAAAGCGTCGAAGGGATGTGTTTTCTTGATATCAGGAAAGCACATGTTCAAAAGATCTGAAATAAGACAATTGTTGATGTTCTCGGAACAGTGTATTTTCCCCAAAAAAATGTGTAAGACATGTAAGTTAGTGTACATAAAAAACTAAATAATTACTTAATTATTGTCGTTAATTATTGTCGACTGCAAAGAGAATGACACAACCCTGGGGCAAAACAATCTCTAAGTAAACTTTTGTGAAAAAGGTGGCCTTGAAATTTACCGGTCATGACCAATTAAAGTCGAATCAAATTTTAACACGTACTAGTCTGCTCTTGCATAAGTTAAGCAATGTGAAGTTACGTGCAGAATTATTATAACGGCGCAGTCACCTATGTTTTGAAGTGCATGTCCTACCCTCGACTCCTTTTCGAATGCGTTGTTATTCAATGGCTTAGGGTTCAGCATTTGCCATACAGGAGGTGCAAACAGGCTATCGTCTTGCGCAAGTAAATTAAACAAAAAAGTAGTCCCTGTCCTCATCTGCCCAACGATGAATATAGGATTTTTAATCTCAACCTAAAATATAAAAGAAGTAACAATTTAGCACTATATTGTAATGATATACATGTAATGTGTTAACAATCCCCGGGATTGCCATGATTGTTATTTGATAAACGTTTCGTCCAGTACGTACATCCGGGATATGGAGAGTGAGAATAAACGCCATTACAAATGAACCCAAAGTTTTATGTCTGATCGTTATTGAACCAAATGATCAGTTCGCATGGTGTCAGATTAATGGATTCAGTCGTCAGAGGATAGAACTATCTATCAAGATCTCGTAGGCTTTAGGATAAAAGCTGAAAAGCACTGACGGAGAAGAAATTAGGGACTCAAGTCTGAGAATTCACAGATATTCCAGCGGAAAATTCCCAAAAACTGTCGTACAACGTCACACGTGAACTACTCGTGATAGAACTTCGCGGAGAGGAAGTGAACAGTGAATTTTATGCTTCGCGGATCACTGGATTTACATTTTGGAAACAGTTTACAGTTTAGCGGTGATATATTGCATTGCAAGTAGACTATATGACTATACTACATTTATGTACAACTGTAGTGTTAATATTTCTAGTGATCATGGCTAAATTTTCACCACCTTCAGAATTTAAGTTCGACAGACCAGCAGAATGGCCAGCTTGGAGAGATAGATTCATAACATTCCGCCAAGCTTCAAAACTCCACAAAGAGGATGAGGTAACACAAATTGCTCAATTATTATACACTATGGGGCCACAAGCAAATATTATTTACAAATCGTTTCAATTTGCTGAACCTGTAGAGCCTGTTGAGGGTGCGGAAGCAGCACAGCCTCAAGGTGATTTACGCACATATGATAATGTTTTGAAGCGATTTAACGACTACTTTATACCCAAGGTGAACGTGATACATGAACGCAAAACATTTGGATTGCGCTCTTGGGATAGGAATAATGAAAGCATTGAAACATTCATTGAGACCTTGTATGAACTTAGCAAGCACTGTGAATATGAAAACAGAGATGAACAGATTAGGGATAGGATAATTCTGAATGTCGAAGATGAATTTCTCTCGGAGAAACTGCAGACATTGGCGATGGATAACCCCCTGACTCTCTCAAGAACAATCGAAATAGTTCGTTCTCATGAATTGATTAAGGGACAATCCAAGAAACCTACTCCTGAAAACAATGTAGACCGTCTCAGCTATGGCAGCCATAGGAGCAGAGCCAAGCCAAGGTCCAAACAGAAACAGTCAACAAACAATGATGACAAATCAAGATCATCAAAGAAATGTTCCAGATGCGGCTACAATCATTATGATGGAAAATCTTGCCCAGCACAAGGCAAAATCTGTAATAAGTGCAAAAAGAAAAATCATTTTTCTTCAGTGTGTAAAAGCAAAAGCAGCCATGTTCAAGGTGTCAGTGTTGAAGCTTACGATGTAGATCAATCTGAGCATGTTGATTCTTCTGAATTTTTCATTGGAGAAATATCTGATAATTCACATATGCAAAGTCATGAGCCTCCTTGGCGTGTTCAACTTCCAATACATGATCGTAAGCTAAGCTTCAAGATCGACACCGGGGCTGATATAAATGTAATATCAAATGATTCATATGAGAGGTTGTCTCCAAGGCCAAAGTTGACCAAGTTCAACGGCATAATAAAGACTGTGGGAGGCAGTGTGTCTTCAAAGGGATCCTTTATAGCTAAAAGCTCTTTGAATGGTAAAAGGTTCTCTATGAGGCTGTATGTGGTTGATCGAAAGTCAGATAATCTTTTGAGCAGAAATTCGTCAAAGAATTTGAATCTGATTCAGTTTAATGAAGCCCAAGGCAATATTGAACAAAGTCACACTCCCAGTAACACAGTGTCAAATCTCAATGTATCTGACGGAGCTCAGCCAGGTACTATATCTAGTAACAAAGTTACTCAAAGTGTACATGATATTGATAACGTTACTCAGGGTACCCAAAGGTCGGGTCACAATGATATTGATAAGATTATCCATGACCCAGATTTATATGGCGAGGTTGGCAATATGAAATGTCCCCCAGTGAAAATAAAAATCAAAGATGATGCTACCCCATATAGTATAAATGTGCCACGATGCGTACCATTTCCATTGATGAAAAAATTACGCGAAACTCTTGACCTAATGAAAAAACTTAAAATCATTGCCCCAGTGCGAGAACCAATCGAATGGTGTTCACCAATGGTTCCAGTACTTTCTAAGTCAGGTAAGCTCCGAATAACAGTCGACTATAGACGGCTAAATGAGTCAATATGTCGCGAAAGATATATGTTACCTACAGTAGACACTATTCTGCAGAAGTTAACAGGTAGTAAAGTATTTACTTCATTAGACGCGACCAGCGGCTTCTATCAGAGGCATGTTCTAATCAGTGGACTGGCCCCAAGAAAAGATGGACTGGACTCTGGGCCATCTTTTAGACATTGCTTCACAAAATTGCTAAAAAGTGGACTTAACCCTCTTTACTCCATTATAGGCCACACTTTAGGTTTTCTGTAAGTATTTTGACTAAAAGATGGCCCCAAGCAATACATATCTAAAATTGAATTTTACTTATCAATATCATTATCCTAGCAAATGAAGTTCGATAGGGATGTCACGAAGCCCTCCATTTGTCAAGTCCTTTTCCCAAGCACAATAAAAAATATGTGGATTTTTAAATATATTCCTTTCAAATCAAAAAGATGGAATTTAGAAGGGTCGAGGGTCGAGCACAGACACACATAACATGAGTAGCGGGATGAGTAGACGGTGTTTTTCAAAAATATAGCTTTGTTACATGCAAGAGGAAGGCATTTTATTGTAGATTGGAGAGCAGGGGCGTAGTCAGCTTTCAGTCAGGGGGGTACGATCGCCAAATTTTGGGGTTTCAGTCAAGTGGGTGGCATAATCGTGGCATAAGCAAGGCAAAACAAAAAAATAAGATCTGTTTTGGAATTTACAAAAATTGATGCAACTTTGCTCAAAATTGAGCTAGAATTAAATAAGCTAAAAAAGCATTTTAAAGCTCCTTTCTTCCACTATCTAATGGTTCTATTTTTATTGGTTATGAGGGGATGCGACCCATCACACCCCCCTCTGGCTATGGAGAGATTGTGTTACCCGTAAGCAATTCACTCACAAGAAATGGAATATTGTTTCATATAATATATTTGTTCTCTCATTAATATGCTACTGATCTCCAGATGGCAGGTATTTAAATTAATCCAGTTGTTTCTTCCATTCTAACTTATAACAAGAACACAAACGTGTACAATATGTCCATACCGATGGGTGGTCCTAGAGTTTTTATCCCCAATGCCCAACTTTTTAATCAGTTGAAAATACAAGATTTTAGGTAAAAAAATCAAAATGGCAACATCAGCCAGAATGCCCCAAAACTGATCAGCTTGAGATTTTCATACAAAGAATCACATCTGAAAAGTTGAATTCGATCTTTCAAATGGTTCATCTGTAAACGTGTAGATAAGTCTTTGCACACAAGATTCAGGATGGAAGATCCAAAATGATCGCCTTATCATTTACCCAGAATGCTTAAAATCATCCCTGAAAAGTTTAAAGTTGACATGGCAGATTGATATTAAGTTAAAGTTCAGCATGTATCCATGTTTCAGTGTGATAATTTGGATCACTAGTCGAATTATGAAGCAAACAAGTGAATGTCTATGATGTTCATGTGTAACTCAGTAATACTATGTATGCCAGATAATCCATTTGAGCATCGCTATATCAAAAAAAGCTTCATTAAATCCAGCAGCAGAAAAGACATGCTAACTACTGAACTATATTCATCATATCCATGTACCCATGTGTGAATTCAATATCAAGTGTGGTCATTTCCATAAAGATTATGAAGCATGTAAAGGACCTTATACACCCTCCATTGGGATCTCCCCATGGGAAAAAAATAATTCATCTGATTTTTCAAAATGAGTATTCTGCTTCAATTATTACATTTATATGCACACGTATCTTGTTGACCTATATTCAGCACTGTATTGATGTATAGGCCACTTATTAGGGTCATAATTCAATCATGAAGTGTAGAGGCATAGATTCCAAACCAGGAAGTATTTTTGTGTCTGTCAAAATCCATTTACATCCTACGCATCCCTGCATCTTATCCAAATATGTTACTACATAATGAAATATAAAAGTATAATATTTGGTTTTACAAACTTGTATGATATTTGATAATTGTAAAAGTTGTTTTGGAGCATTTTTCTATAGCCATTTTGTAGGGAAAAAATGATGAAAAATTTAGCAATCTTTTAATTTTAAGTATGACCTGAATCGATTGCAAACTTCATATTTGCACATTTGATGAGATAAACCATTTGTGTCGTATTGTGAAATTATTAAGTTTGCAATCGATTCAGGTCATAGTGTATTTTTGGTATTTCTGTGATAATCAATGGAAACCAATGGCCCCTATTGGGATCTGCTGATATCCTCATGTTAAGTCAATGGTGCACAGCCCCATGAAAGTCAATACAACCTTACTGAACGAAATGATCCCTATCTCAGCTTATGTGTGTCCGAGCACTTTAATATTTTCCAAAGTATTATATGACATTTTATTCTTCATGTTACACCTACGAATGATTCATTTTGACCATAGGGATATTTGCCAATAATTGCACCTTGTCCTTTGAGATTTTAGAGATAAAGTATGTAAAGGTATTATCACCACATGCAATTCAACACTTATGGATTTTCATTTATGTGCGGAAACTGACTTTTATCAATACGTGATAATATATAATTTTATTGTTACCAGCCAGCCCGAAAAAATATATAATAAATTAAAGTGATTTTTTAATAAAAGTTAAATTACCAAAATTAGCAGTGATTTGATAATTATCAATTGTTTTTATAAATTATCAGATAATGCTAATTTCACACGGGCCCTTTTCTATGAAACATTTGCTAGAAATAGTTATCAATAAAAGTGATAGTTTTGATGTAACTAAAATTATAACTGTTAGCAATAGTTTTGATAATTATCAATATTATCTGATATTATCAGA